AAAGCATTGGGTCTCACAGACTACAGGCCTCAATTGGCATATTAAAAGTTCATCACGGCACAATTAGAAATTTAGTCAACAAGGATGGCTTGCTTGTAAAGGTTGTCAAGCGAAGGCCTCTTTTCTCAAAAAACAGCATAGCAGCACATTTTAAGGCTTGCCAACCTGGATCTGAACAAACTAATAGACCGCTGTGTCCTTTGGAGAGATGAGACCAAAGTGGAGATGTCTGAATTTAAGGCAAAGCACCACTTTGGCAAAAACCAAACGCTTACTGTCATCTCGGTTGTTGGCAACTGCAACTGACAAAGGCTACCTCATGTCATCATTATTGGCTTAAACTTATCATACCACCTGTCAAGCAAGGTGGCTGAGGGGCAGCGAAATTGGTGATGGGCTTTTTTGCGGAGTTGATCATGAACTGTCACATAGCTAAAAAGAACTATGATTAAATGCCTGTGAACCTCAACGGACAGAAGTAATGTTGAAATGAAGAGAATTCATCCACCACGACATAAGAGACTGATAAGTCATTCAGAAAATGAGGAGAATAAGTTATTGATGCGAAACGAGGTTCTGCAAGCTATTGAATCATGGGCCGTACTTACTACTTACAAGCTCACATAGAGAACGTGTGTGCAGAGTAGCTTTATGTTAATAAAATGGTGCCGTTAATCAGAAAAATGTCATGACATGTTTTAAGCTCATATTCCACTCCAACAAAATACAGTTGTTTGAGTTTAATAGGGATTTTTTTTTTAACATCACCTAATTCTCCGCTCAGTCATTTTGAACAAATGATTATCATGCCCATTTCAGTATTTTTGAAAAGCAACTAATTTTCTGCTGCAAGGTTGACATCCTCAGAGGATTATCTGTCTAATAACTGAACTCAAATTAATGTAAATATGCCAGTCCAAAGCTTACATAAGTGCTGTTCTGCTCCTGTGTAACCACTCTGGATCAGACCACGTTTTTTTGTTTTTGTTAAAGCTTAAAAGTCCAGCTTTTTTCAGTGCATAAATGTTTTCCCCAAGTCTGTAATAAACCCATAGAATTGCAATTTATGTCCAATCAGATGAAACTGGAGTTGGATGATAACAGATTGAGCAGGAAACAAGACCATATGGTCGATCCCAACATAATGGGAAGAATACAGTTAAAGTGTGTGAGCCTCTTTGTTCAGAACATTTTGCCCACCGCACCAGTCACTCTTATTGTTCTTGTCAGTGTGATTACTTTCGACGGGATGATTGCAGTAATATAATTCATAATGTACGAATTGCAAAGGAAACTGTGAGCAAACGATCTGCAAGATAGTCGTCCCTTTCAGTTTGGATGAGCCGGTGTATGAGTCAGCTGATGTCATTGAGCTCTGTGGTATTAAATAGTCTTGACTTTGCAAAGATGCTGAGCAGGCTTCCTCCAAATTGACTCAATACTAAATGAAGAGAGAGAGGGTTTTTTTGCTTTGTTTTTTAAAAGCAAAGGCCTCACTTCAACTTTTGTGTCTTTTTAAGCCATTATGGAAGAAAGATTTGTTGGTATCTCTCCATGTTGTGATCTGTCTGAAACTAAGAGCTAAACTCACCTGCTGGTTATTCTTCAATTAACAGAGCAGTGTCAAGGCCATGCATGGATCTTATTTTTGCTGTTTTCTAATCATAGTTTTGGTGTGCATACAGTGTGTGGGTATCGGCTAGCTCTCTAAAATGAGCTGCGTAAATTTACAAGGCACTGGCTCGGCGCCCAGCGCTGCCTTGTCGCCCCAGACGTCTTCACTGAACGTTTCACTGGAAGCTTCGCTTTGACCATTGTGGTGGGAGTGACTGCTGCCGCGGTCGCGAATACAAAATGACAGATGGTGACTGCGTTAGGTGCATTTCACATCCCCCTCTTCTACTTTTTCTTTTCCTTTTTGCTCTAGACTTAAATGGCAATTGGCATTGGGTTGGGCATATGTTAAGGATTTGAACAAGAACTAAAAGGTTGGTAAAAAAGTCAGAGACCACCATGTGAAGCTTAAATACTTTTGGTTTTCTGGTCCAGGTATGCTGCAGGTTTGTCTGGCAAACTAAATCAGCTTTTCCTGAGCTCATTTTCTCTCCATGTCCCACATCCCGCTAAGTTTCCTTTGTCTGCAGTCCTTGTCTTTTGACTCTTTGACAGCCCGAAAGTAGCTGAATAGTGAGAGAAGAATGGCTCTTTGTTTCGACCGCTTGCTGTCGCTGTGGATTTGATTGTCTCAGTAGGCAACATGGCCTCAAACATGACTATTCACACACTGACACACACAGTCACCCCTGTGGATGGACATTCCTTTTGGCAGGGCTCCCAGATGGCACTGCAGGTTCTGTGCGGGCTGCGACCATAAGAAGGAGTGATTGACTGTGTTTCTCAAAGGCTGAGCAGCATCACACTGGAGTGTGAAGGTTATAAAACCATAACTCTGTTTTTTTTTTCGTTTTTTTTTTTCTTTTGTTTGTTTGTTTTTTGCTGTTGAGAGTTCAGATTTCTCTGTAAAGTCTTCAACAAAAGTTGAAGCTTCACAGAAACATGTATAACTATTGATTGCGGACTTTGGACGGATTTCATCTGGTACTGAAATGACCAATTAAAAGAGAACAAACTTTTAATTCCAGCTTTTTAATTATGATTGATTGCTACTTTTCCAATTATAACATCAGTAATTTGGAGGTTATGTCTGTTTAGAAAAAAGAACATATTTTGAAGAGATTGCCTTAGGCTATCAAAACAACAATAGAATAGAGATTGGATTTGCTTTTAATTTCCTGAATACTAGAAGTTAGGGTGTTATACGAGTCCCATATTGTCAGATTTCTGTATAACATAAAAGTTTTTCTTTTATTCTATCAGAGTTTTGAGGATTTTTTTTAGTCAAAGTTCTTTTAGTATTCAAGAAGAATTAATTGTAGAAGTGGCATCTTTTGTATTTTAGACTGAAATTGCATCCCAAATAACATGGCTTTTCCTGCGCTCATGTTCATTACGGACAATAAATTGAAGTAAAATTTAGGTCTTGAATGGTAGAACCTCAAAAAGGGAATGTCTTTGCAGCCGCAGGGTTAGTAACAGGCTGTTGAACATCCAAAAAAACATCTTGTTAAAACTGAGTCTTGGTGTTTTACGATAACGCTTACAAGCAATGTCAGTTCCATTAAAGAAGAGTGGTAGTTAAAGAGACCATCCCATCATCCGGAAGGTGACTGATTTTTTATCTGCGCGGCAGCTACCCTAAAAGATCCTCAAATGCCCCGCAGCCACGTCTACTCTTGAGTCAAGTTTTTATGTTGAGTAATCGATTTGTTCAACCTCCTTTAAATGTTTAATTAACCTAGACCCAGAGTAAAATGTCACTAATATGAAATCCTCAGATCCTTTATCACAGCCAGCTGAGCTGGAAGCAATTTTGTGAGTATTAGGAGATGACATTTTCCCCAGGCAGACATCTTATGGGGGATTCAAACTAGTTGCAGTCACAGTGGAACAGAAGTCCTGCGAACAAAAATTAGTTCAGTGTACATTTACGTGTGATCTGCATATTAGCCTTGAAGCAGAATCATGCCTCACTTACATTTGGACTTTCATAAACGGTTAATGTGGCATATGCTTAAAATACACATTTGCTTTCTTACTGAATGCTACAGTTTGTTTTTTAATGGATGTTAATGTTCAGGCATCAATTTTAATGTTATTGGGAGATCAGTTGAGATTCGACTTGAAGAAAATATCCATGTTTGGTTGTGGTTAAAGTTGCAAAACACTTTTCTCCTTCCGCATCTTTGGCATAATCTCAAAGCTGAAAATCTAGTTGTCGGGCAAAGTTTTTTCGCTGGGGGGGGGAGTGGTAGGCGGACGAATTATAGTGATTGTATCATCTGTAAATCTCTCTTTGAGCGCAGATCATCGGTAGCAGGCCTGTTAATGGATCCAATTTGAGCTGGATGGAGATGTACTTAAACACCTTTGCTCTCCCTATTTAAACAGTTTAACTGAAATTGGTTGTGTTGTGACTCTTGTGTCCTTGTAAAGCCACTGTTTCACTGTATTAGACCAACTGTTTGTATTCATCTTGAAGCGAAGCACTTGTTGTGCAGAGAATGTCAGTAGAATGTATATTACTATTGCTAACAGTTTTTATTTCATAAGCATGAATATCTGAGCTCATTATAAGGGGAAATAAAAACATGTATCACTTTCTGGGTAAATAAGAGTGAATATAGAATTTAGCTAGCTAAACCAACATAAAAAAATAAAAGTGACAATGCACTGACCTATCAAGGTTTAGGTAGGTTTTTTTTTTTTTTTTTGGTTGGTTGGTTTTTTTTACTCTTTATGTCAAGATAGGTTGACAGATGATGTCAGCACAGAGTCTACATGGATTAGGATGTTTGTAGAGGACCCTGATCTGCAGTCAGAGTAGGGAGCAGGTGGAAGATGGTCTGGAGTGTTGGAGGTATGCTCTAGTGAGAAGTGGAATGAAAGCCAGTGGAGGCAAGACAGAATATGTGTGTATGAATGAGAGGGAGACAGTTGTAACAGGGTAGATGCAAAGAGTGGAGGTACATGGCTTTAAATACATGCTACAAAAAGACAGGAGGCCGAACTGGAGGTGGCAGAACTGAAGATTTTAAGATTTTTACTGGGAGTGGCCAACAACATTACATTAGTGTACATTGGAGGGACACCACAGGTGGAGCTGGTAAAGACGCAAGCTTAACATGGTTTGGACATATGTAGAGTACCAAGGCTGTTTGATATGAAGCTGCTAGGCAGGAGAAGAAGCAGAAAATTAGAAGATTCATGGAAGTAGTGAAAGGGAACATGCAGATGAGTATGCTAGAGACCAGAGTCTGCAGTGGCAACCCCTGAAAGAAGATGATTTTATGTCATCAATTGAACAAAATCAAAAGATGAAAACATTGTAACAGTTTTTTTTTTTTTTCTTTCTCCTTCCATGTCTCATCCTTTTTTATCAGGTGTGTACTCCTGCCTCTCTTGAGTGTGAAGCCTCCTCAGCAGGCACTCTTCCTGCTTGTGGACTCCATTGATGAAGGCAGTCAGCTGGGTGAGGGGGAACAGAGGTCCTCCCCAGGTTCTCCCAGGACCATTGCAGAGCTCCTGGCCAGTCACCATGAGTTTCTGCCTCCTTGGCTGCTGCTCATCTGCTCCGCACGACGACAGAACAAATCCATTACCAAACTATTCACAGGTAAATGGTTCAACTTTTCTCGTTGCTCAGTTAAGATAACTGTTCTCCAAGTGTAGAGGCAATTTTCCAAAAGCTTTAGGGTGTTACATGTAGTTTTTTAAAAATCAATACATCATTGTCAAAATCACTATGATACCATTATTACAACTGAGCTGAGCTGTTGAAAAGAGACAGTTTGATGTATGAGAAAGTACTTGCAATTGTCAGTACTGCTGTATGCTTGTTCCGCTTGATGGCAACCATTTTTCAGATTTAATAGTACGCATTTTGACAAAAAAAAATACAGCAGTTACAAACAAAGCCTGCAGCATCATTCTTTTTTTTTTTTGTCACTGCTTCGAATGCTTTCTAACATTATGACATGCCTGAAGGGATTAGTCACCACTGCAGACTTCTGTAAGAGATGCAGCTTTTCCTTGTCTTGTGACACTGTACCATACCCACTGCTATTATCTCCTTGTCAGGCCAGCAGCCTACTCTGTGGCGATGAGCTGGCATAACATTAATCAAAAACCTAACTGTGTGGGAGGAAGTTGCCTCTGCAGACTCGCATTGCTGCGTGTCCCCCGTCTACCTTTCCAAAGCCATTGAATGTGGGAGCTTCTAGTGCCCTCACTTTACCTTTTTTTACTGTTACACAACATCCCAGCAGTCTGAATAGTTGTGCTGCTCCCTCCTCAGGAGGTGCTTGCAGTCAGGTTTGGGGATGAACAAGCTACATGCGTTCTTCCTTTTGTTCCTGCATAAATTATGAAATGCCTATGTTTGTATTATCGAATTCTCCAAAAGCAGTTCTATTTGTAGTGCTGATATTTCTATTGATTTTATATTGGATTGGGTATGATCGCGATTAGGTCTCTGTGCATAGTATGTACAGAAATGCATGGTAACAATATAATGTGCGCCTAAAATCCTATAAAATTAATAGGACAGGTAACAAGCATCCTTCTTTAATATCTAGCCCCAGCAGCAAATTAATTTGCTTGGCAGTCTGTTCATGTTCTGGCTTGTCTTCAGTGGATTATGTTGCTTGCCTCTTATCATTTTAGATAATACAAATAGTATTCCTGTATATATTCCAAATTAAATGCAACAGTGTAATTAGAATTAAGAGGTCACGCTCAAAGTTGTTTTCAGGACTCTTAAAATATGCTTTCCATATATACAGCAGGTAAAGTAAATCATGAACGCGTCACCAGTTTTCTTAGTAACTATATTTCTAAAGGTGCTATTGACATGAAATTTCCACCAGATGTTGGTAACCCCTCAATCCAATTCACACATGCAAAGTAATCAAACTATAACTGTCCATATTTTAAGTTGTTTGCAATAATGAGACATGACACAGGGAAAAGCTGTTGAACACATGAAGAAATGGAGGTGCAAAAAGACCTAGAAAGTCATGACAGCAGCTCAAATCTATCAGTAATTAGAAAGCAATCCTGCCACTTAATGCTAATGAATAACAGCTGGTTCAGTCCCTATAAAAAGGTATCTCATTACCAAAGATACAACCCATGATGGGTAAAACCAGTGAGCTCTTGCAAGACCTTGCAACCTTATTTTTGCAACAGATACTGATGGCATTGGTTGCAGAAGAATTTCAAAACCACTTGAAGATTCCAGTGAGCGCTGCTGGAGCCATAATCCAGGAGTGGAAAGAATATCATTTCACCATAAACTGGCCACGACTAGGTTCTCCCAGCACGATTTCAGACAGAGGAGTGAAAAGAATTATCAGATGAGCTTTCCAGGAGCCAAGGACCACTTGTGGAGAGCTACACAAAGAGTTGGAATCAGCAGGAGCAATTGTTTTAAAGAAAACAATAAGAAATGCAGTCAACCACCATGGCCTGTATGCACGCTCGCTACACAAGACTTTGTTGCTAAAGAAAAAGCATGTTGGAGCAAGTTTAAAGTTTGCTGAGAAGCTCAAAAGGCACTGCATAACATCCCAAAAGTAAATAAGTTTGGAGGTGGGACCATCATGGTGTGGGGCTGTTTTCCAGCATACGACAATGGCACGCTTCATATAATTAAAGGAAGGATAAATAGAAAACATATACAGAGACATTCCTAATAGAAAACTGCTGCCGTCAGGAGGATGAAGACTAAACGAGGATGGATGTTTCACCAAAACAATGATCCCAAACACAGCTGAGGAAACTGTGTTGGTTTCAGAGAAAGACAATAAAGCTGCTAGAATGGCCGAGTCAATCACCTGCTCTCAATCCAATTGAAAATCTATGGAAAGAACAAAAGTTCATAGAAGGGGTCAAGGAAACCTTCAGGTATGTGTGTAAGAACGGGCCAAAATCACCCCTGAGCAATGCATGAGAAGAATTTCTCTATACAGGAGGCATCACCAAAGGCTTCTGTACAAAGTATTAAATACATTTCAGTAAGTGTGTTCAATACTGTGTCATTTCTCATTGTTACACTTAATTTTATGGACATCTATGGTTTGATTTCTTTGCTTGTGGGGCTTGGATGGGACATCTGGTGAGAATTTCATCTCAATAGCACATTTTGTATTAACTTAGAAAACTGGTAACACATTTAGTACTTATTTAACCCGCTGTAGGTCTCCTGCAAGAAAATGAATTGTCAGCTATTTTGATCATTATTTCCGTGCAAAAGTTCCAGCCACTCCTTGGGTCTAGTTTCTCCATTGTCAGTTTGTTTCTTAGTCATTGTTTGTATAAGAGTGGAAACAGGAATTCAGGACACTAGAGTCTCACTTTGAGTCGTTCGTGGGCATCGTGCATGTAATTCAACAAACCAACCGTGATGCAGGCTGCCCACTTCATAATTTCAAAGACACGCCCACCCACGCTTTCCTCTAACTTAAAAGGTTCTGTGTAGGAACCCGTGTGGATTGGTATCAGTTTAGTTTAAAGCGTTTTCCAAAACTTTGTGTCCACAGACAACACAGATGGAAGAAGTTTTATATTTGATTTTCTTTCGGCAGCAGTTTGTGTCTGGCCCAAATCATTAATTTCAATAGTGAGATTTTATCTGGTGTGCACTTCATGTTCAGAGCGGACTCAGCAGGGGAACATAGTCTTAAAAAACATTTTCGTCTTTGGTATGTTTTTTTTTTTTTTT